AACCTAATGAAAGAAATCAAAGACCTCTTCTCTGAAAATTATAGCACTTTGAACAAAGATATTGAAGGGGATATCAGAAAATGGAAAGATGGCCCCTGCTCCTGTGTAGGAAGGATCAACAGACTGAAAATGGCTATATTTCCAAAACTGCTATATAGATTCAATGCAATTCCAATTGAAATCCCAGCAGCATACATCACAGATCTTGAGAAAACAATCCAAAAATTCATTTGGAACAAGAAGAGACCCAGAATAGCAAAAGCAATTCTAGGTAACACAGATATGGCAGGGGCTATTACAACCCCCATCTTGAAAGTATACTACAAAACTACTGTGATAAAAACAGCATGGTACTGGCAAAGAAACAGCCCTGAAGACCAGTGAAACAGATTAGAAGATGCAGAAACAACTCCAGACACACTCAGCCACCTTATCGGAGCCAAACACCCTTGCTGGAGGAAAGATAGCTTCTTTAATAAATGGTTCTGGAAAAATTGGGTTTCAACTTGCCAAAGACTAAAACTAGACCTATATCTCTCACCATGCACTAATCTAAAATCGAAATGGATTAGATATCTAAATATAAAAACAGAAACACTGAACCGGGTGGAACAGAGGTTAGGTAGAACTCTTCAAGACACTGGGGTAGGAAAAGACTTTATGAACAAAACCCCAGTTGCCCGTGAACTAGGACAAACAATCAACAAATGGGATCTCTTCTTATTAAAAAGCTTCTGCACAGGAAGAGAAACCACCAGCAGTGTGAAGAGACAACCCATAATGTGGGAAAAAATCTTCACCAGCGGTCCCTCAGACCAAGGTCTACTCTCTTGAATCTATAAAGAACTTAAAAAGATCAGACCTCCCAAATTTAAAGGCCCAGTCCAAAAATGGGCATCTGAAATGAACAGACATTTCTCACCACAAAGAAGTAGACATGGCAAATAAATATATAAAAAAATGTTCAACATCACTAGTCATTCAAGAGATGCAAATGAAAACAATGCTGAGATTCTACCTCACTCCAGAAAGAATGGCTGCTATCGAAAACATGGAAACAGCCCAAATGCCCATCAACTGGAGACTGGATAAAAAAAAATGTGTTTTAATAAAATGGAGTACTACTCAGCCATACAAAATGAGAAATTAGAGACATTTATAGCTAA